TCCCCTGAAATCAGGAACAAGACAAGGGTGCCCACTCTCACCACTACTATTCAACATAGTTTTGGAAGTTTTGGCCACAGCAATCAGAGCAGAAAAAGAAGTAAAAGGAATCCAGATAGGAAAAGAAGAAGTGAAACTCTCGCTGTTTGCAGATGACATGATCCTCTACATAGAAAATCCTAAAGACTCTACCAGAAAATTACTAGAGCTAATCAACGAATACAGTAAAGTTGCAGGATATAAAATTAACACACAGAAATCTCTTGCATTCCTATACACTAACAATGAGAAAACAGAAAGAGAAATTAAGGAAACAATACCATTCACCATTGCAACAAAAAGAATAAAATACTTAGGAGTATATCTACCTAAAGAAACAAAAGACCTATACATAGAAAACTATAAAACACTGATGAAAGAAATCAAAGAGGACACAAACAGATGGAGAAATATACCGTGTTCATGGATTGGAAGAATCAATATTGTCAAAATGGCTATACTACCCAAAGCAATCTACAGATTCAATGCAATCCCTATCAAACTACCAACGATATTTTTCACAGAACTAGAACGAATAATTTCACAATTTGTATGGAAATACAAAAAACCTCGAATAGCCAAAGTAATCCTGAGAAAGAAGAATGGAACTGGAGGAATCAATCTGCCTGACTTCAGACTATACTACAAAGCCACAGTCATCAAGACAGTATGGTACTGGCACAAAGACAGAAATATAGATCAATGGAACAGAATAGAAAGCCCAGAGATAAATCCACGAACCTATGGTCACCTTATCTTTGACAAAGGAGGCAAGGATATACAATGGAAAAAAGACAACCTCTTTAACAAGTGGTGCTGGGAAAACTGGTCAACCACCTGTAAAAGAATGAAACTAGAACACTTTCTAACACCATACACAAAAATAAACTCAAGATGGATTAAAGATCTAAATGTAAGACCAGAAACTATAAAACTCCTAGAGGAGAACATAGGCAAAACACTCTCCGACATAAATCACAGCAGGATCCTCTATGACCCACATCCCAGAATTTTAGAAATAAAAGCAAAAATAAACAAATGGGACCTAATGAAACTTAAAAGCTTTTGCACAACAAAGGAAACTATAAGCAAGGTGAAAAGACAGCCCTCAGATTGGGAGAAAATAATAGCAAACGAAGCAACAGACAAAGGATTAATCTCAAAAATATACAAGCAACTCCTCCAGCTCATCTCCAGAAAAATAAATGACCCAATCAAAAAATGGGCCAAAGAACTGAACAGACATTTCTCCAAGGAAGACATACAGATGGCTAACAAACACATGAAAAGATGCTCAACATCACTCATTATCAGAGAAATGCAAATCAAAACCACAATGAGGTACCATTACACACCAGTCAGGATGGCTGCTATCCAAAAGTCCACAAGCAATAAATGCTGGAGAGGGTGTGGAGAAAAGGGAACCCTCTTACACTGTTGGTGGGAATGCAAATTAGTACAGCCACTATGGAAAACAGTGTGGAGATTTCTTAAAAAGCTGGAAATAGAACTGCCATATGACCCAGCAATCCCACTTCTGGGTATACACACCGAGGAAACCAGATCTGAAAGAGACACGTGTACCCCAATGTTCATCGCAGCACTGTTTATAATAGCCAGGACATGGAAGCAACCTAGATGCCCATCAGCAGACGAATGGATGAGGAAGCTGTGGTACATATACACCATGGAATATTACTCAGCCACTAAAAAGAATTCATTTGAATCAGTTCTAATGAGATGGATGAAACTGGAGCCCATTATACAGAGCGAAGTAAGCCAGAAAGATAAAGACCATTACAGTATACTAACACATATATATGGAATTTAGAAAGATGGTAACGATAACCCTATGTGCAAAACAGAAAAAGAGACTCCTATGTATAGAACAGACTTGTGGACTCTGGGAGAAGGCGAGGGTGGGATGTTTCAAGAGAACAGCATTGAAACACGTATATTATCTAGGGTGAAACAGTTCACCAGCCCAGGTTGGGTGCACGAGACAAGTGCTCGGGCCTGGTGCACTGGGAAGACCCAGAGGGATTGGGTGGAGAGGGAGGTGGGAGGGGGGACCGGGATGGGGAATACATGAAAAAAAAAAAAAAAAAGATACACTATGGTTGTGATAAAAATAAATAAATAAATAAATTTAAAAAAAAAAAAAAAAAAAAAAAAAAAAAAAAAAAAAAAAAAAAAAGAAAAAAAAAAAAAAAAAAAAAAAAGAATACAAATTAAAATTAGCCAAGGGGAGAAGCACATAGGGCAGAGTCCAGGAAAGTACCAAACACAGAGCTTCTAGTTGTCTGTTCTTCGTGGAATCAGGGACAGCGTTACTTCCCTGTGACAGTTCTTATAGAATGTTGCCAGCCAGGGAAGCTTTGCTCAAGCCTAGAGTCCAGAGTTGGTTATATTAGGGCTCCATCACATAGGATGCCTGACTGCCCATGTGGCTGATCTAAGTTTCCATCCCCATAAGAGGTTGAACTAATATTCTGTGACCCAAACCCCCACTTAAATCACATTGTTGGGGTGACTCAAAGAACTCCCCCAACCTAAATCACATTGTTACTTTCTAGCTGGCCAAAGGTTCCCAGGCAAATAAATATTCCTCTAAGACATGACATTCCAAGGATTTAGAGATTACCTCCCAGAAGACGAAGGCAAATGTCAAGACTTCTTTTAGAGTAAGAATTATGTTCTTTCCCACACAATACTACATATCCTTGAGTTAAAAGATCAAATTTTACTTCCACATGAAATGTCCCTTGCTGACTCCAGAGCATGTCAGCTCCTGTTTTTCTGCATTCACATTATACTTAGTGTCTGTAACACACAAACAGAACCATCCTCTGATATGATCTAGTAATGTGCTACATGATTCAACCTTGTTTTATCTGAGGCCTCTTTTCCCATCTGATTAACAGTTCCCTCAAAATAAGGTCCTCTCTTTTACTTTTCCTTACTGTAGTTTGTAAGAGAGGCTAGACATTCAGTAGTTACCTGATTGATGGGCTATGATAGTATGCAAGGAAATTATCTTTTTCATCCATTCAGAAATCATTTAAACAGTAAGTTCTTTTTATATATACATGCCAAGATAATCATATCCCTTCACCACTCTTAAGTGTGTTAATGTATACTCAGAAGATTTCAAAGAAGATAGTTAATCAAATATTGACTTCAAAGAACATAAGTTTTAGTTGGGAAGGCATTATTATAAAATTGAGCATTTTACATATAATATAATATTAAAATAGCAACAAATCTTATTGAAAGATTATTTGAAATGGATGGTTCAGACTATAAAATTATGTACTAATTTCAGACAAAATAGACATTGAAGAGTAGAGAGAATATGTGAAGGCTTTTGGATAAATTGGATAGTAGTATATCCCTGGAGGAGCTTGAAGTTGTCAGGAAGGCAGTATAATTTCCATTACTGATACAGATTAGTTATGTGTGTCCTAGAACTACACATAAATGAAATATGTACTCTTTTGCATGAAGTTTTAAGTCTAAAAAATGTTTAATATTCATCTCTTTTGTCATTATGTTTCAGTTGGTTTTTTCCTTTTTATTGCTGAATAGTATTCCATTATATACATTTCATTGTAGTATTCTGTTTTATAAATACATGATCCTACCACCCATATCTGGTGGAGCAATTTTAAAGATAGATATGGTATCACTTGTTTACATTTTCATGACTAGTTTGATGGGATAAAAAGGCTATTGTAAATAAGATGCAAGGCATAAGTAGGATGAATCCACATTTAAAACTGCCCCATCAGATATGGGTGGTAGTAAGGTAAAATAGTAAGATATAGCCAAGAAGTTTTAAGAAAAATAATAGGTCAACCAGTGCCATACATGTATATTAAAGAATTCAGTTTTTCACAGCTCCAATAGGGAATAGCAGAGTCCCAGATGGTGCTAGTGGTAAAGAACTTGCCTGCCACTGCAGAAGACATAAGAGACGTGGGTTCGATCTCTGGGTCGGGAAGACCCCCAGGAGAAGGGCACAGCAACCCATTCCAGTATTCTTGTCTGGAGAATTCCACAGACAGAGAAGCCTGGCAGGCTATGCTCTATAGGATCACAAAGAGTCAAACACAATTGAAGCAACTTAGCACATATGCACTGCATTGGGAGGAAAACTTGAACTCATCCTTCCCTAAAACTGAAAAAGTAATTTAGCAAATTGAAAAGAGGAAACGTTATAATTGATGGTCAAGAGAATTTAGTTATTGATCATCTCTGGAAGAATAAATTGATGGTAGCAGCAATCAGAATACAACAGTGATTATATTCATGTTGCAAATATCCTTTTCCTCTGGTTTATTTTATAATTCCTAAGGGAATTATGTTTTCCCAGTTCTTCCTTTTCAAGGAAAAAAATTACAGTTATGTGGAGAACTAGGGTCAAGAGTATAGACGAATGTGTTTGTTAACACTAGGAAATGAGTGACTGAAAAAGTTCATTTGCCATGGATAGGCTCAATACAAGTGAGGAAGAAACAAATGGAAGTATTTTATAACATTTATTTAGTCATTAGGGAATAAATATATCATTTTTCATCATCACCTGAACATTTTCACTACTTACTGTTAGTACCCTTGATAGGCTCACTCCATTATCTCTGAATCAGCCTGTTCCAAGAACAATCCTGCTTTCACTATCCTTTGTCTTCTGCTTACTTGCCCTTGTGTTTATCATACCTGTTCAGTGTAGCTTATATTTACAACATCTCAAAGATATGTGTTGTTTGCTTATGACAGTTTTTCCTCATTTTAACAGTGTAGCAGGGTATGTGTTTGTTAGCTCCCAGAGGTAATTTATTTTGACCTTTCTGTAGACTAAAGAAGTGTGATAGACAGGCCCACCATGGATTGTTTGTATTATTTATCTTATCCATAATGTTTACATGGAGGCTTATTATTGTTAATTGTATTTTTTCTAGAAGAAGATTGGAAAGCTGAAGATGTTTTAGTGAAATTCAAAGAATACCAAGACAGGCATTCTAGGTCAGTTATATCCATCAACCACAAAAGACTAATAAAAGAGAGAAGTAACATTTGGGGGAAAACATTTACTATCGACAAGAACCGTATTATTTCAAAAACAACACTACGTGAATATAAACCTGATGGAAAAGTTTTTAAAAATATTTCAGAATTAGTCATTAGAAATATAAGTCCTATAAGAGAGAAGTTTGGTGAGAGTAATGGATGGGAGAAATCACTCCTTAACACTAAACATGAGAAAATTCATGCAGCAGTGAATCTCTGTAAACAAACAGAAAGGAGTCTGAGTGGTAAACAAGAGCTTATTCAACATCAGAAGGTTCAAACTCCAGAGCAATCATTTGAACATAATGAATGTGAAAAACCCTTCCTTATGAAAGGAATGTTATTTACACATACCAGAGCTCACAGAGGAGAAAAATCCTGTGAATACAATAAAGATGGCACAGCCTTCATTGAAAAGTCAAATCTCAATGTCCACCAACAAAATATGGAGAAGAAACCCCACTCATACAGCAAATATGGGAAATTCTTCTGTAGGAAGTCCATTTTTATCATGCATCAGAGATCTCAAACAGAAGAGAAACCCTTTCATTGTCCTTACTGTGGGAATAACTTTAGAAGGAAGTCGTACCTCATTGAACATCAACGAATTCACACAGGTGAGAAACCTTATGTTTGCAGTCAATGTGGAAAAGCCTTCCGCCAAAAGACAGCCCTCACTCTTCATGAGAAAACACACTTAGAGGGTAAACCCTACATTTGTATGGATTGTGGGAAGTCCTTCCGCCAAAAGGCAACCCTTACTAGACATCACAAAACACATACCGGAGAGAAGGCCTATGAATGTACTCAGTGTGGAAGTGCTTTTAGAAAAAAGTCATACCTCATTGATCATCAGAGAACACACACAGGGGAGAAACCATATCAATGTAATGAATGTGGGAAGGCATTTATCCAGAAGACAACCCTCACTGTACATCAGAGGACTCACACAGGAGAGAAACCCTATATTTGCAATGAATGTGGGAAGTCCTTCTGCCAAAAGACAACTCTCACTCTCCATCAAAGAATTCACACAGGGGAGAAACCCTATATTTGTAATGAATGTGGGAAGTCCTTCCGCCAGAAGGCAATCCTCACGGTTCATCAGAGAATACATACAGGAGAGAAATCCAATGGATGTCCTCAGTGTGGGAAAGCTTTTAGTAGGAAATCTAACCTCATTCGCCATCAGAAAACTCACACAGGAGAGAAACCATATGAATGTAAAGAGTGTGGGAAGTTCTTCAGTTGTAAGTCAAACCTCATTGTCCATCAGAAAACTCACAAAATAGAAACTGTGCGAATTCACTAAAACATGTGACTTTTCTGGTGAAAAATTTTTAAGACATAGTAAACCCTGTACATGAGGTTGCTTGCAAGTGTAATAATATTAAACAGTTTAAGGTACTGTAGCATATTTACCTACTATTTGCTAGTCCACGAAACACATAAAAAGAATTATGAGATAAATTCAGTGATAAAAGTCACTGAAAATACAAGCTTAAATTTTTTATTACCTTCACCAGACATAAATTCTTCTGTCAAGTTGATAAAAACCTTTTAAATTGCTTATTTAAAATTTTAACATATAACAGTTTGTGACCCAGTATTAAGCAGTAGGCTACCTGACCGTGGTCCGTGGACCACACTGTGAACAGAACTGCTTTAAAAGAAGGAGGTGTGACTGTATTTCTCACTGCAAATATGGAATAAAAGTTATCCCTTCAGAGTTAACCACAGTTCTAACTCTTAACATTATAAATTAGTTTTTGCATATTATAAACCTTTATATAAAAGTATACATCATGTATTCTTTCATATATGACTTGTTTCATCCATCACTATGTCTTTAAAACTCATCATTAGTGCATGTTGGAGAAATTTATTTATTTTCATCCTGTATAAAATTTCATTATATAATTACATTTCAGTATATCCAATCTAATGTTGATGGACTTTTTTTTAATGTTTACAGCTTAGGGTCATAATAAATAATACTTCTTCAAATATATTTATATTTAGGTGTACATATATTCATTTCTCTTGTGTATATACTTACACACATATACTTAGGGATGAAATTGCTGGGCCCTGGGTTATGTGTACGCTGGTACTACCAAACAATGCATAACTTTGATGTTAGGAGATAATTCACTCTGAAGGAAGACAGCTGTATATATTATAAATATGGTGATGGTTCAAATGTGAGAATTCATACTAGAGGGAAACTATGAATGTTGTGAAAACTGGGAATTCAAATAGAATGGATATTAAGATTTTTAGCAACAGCTCAAATCATAAATACTAGATACAGATTATAAATCTGACACTGCCTTCAGCCATAAGTATGTCTATTTGAAATCAAAGTCATGCTGTAGGAAGAGAGGGACCTAGTGTCTTCCTTGCTCAACATGAGAGAATTCTAACTGGATGAAACATTATCTTACTGGGTCATATGAAAATGATGAATATGGAAAAGCTTAGAGCCACAGCTCAAATCCTTACATCAACAGGGAATTCACAATGGATGTGAATACTTCAAATGAAATGATTGTAAGAATAATTAGTCATAACTCACATCTATACAGTAGCAAAGAATTCATATTAAAGAAAGAAAGATTGACAAGGCTACAGATGAGGCTTTCAACTCTTAACTCTGGGGAAAGCTGTTTCCATGAAAGAAGTCCAGCTGTACCAAGATCATGATGCTAGAGAGTCAATTGTTATCAATAGCCCTAGCTAAGCACCAAGTCATTATCCAGTATTATCTGCCAAATATGATTGAGCAATCTGGGGCAAGTCAGTTCTTTGAATGACTAGGCACTGCTGCCATCCAACTGGAACCACATAAGAGACCCTCTGCCCTCAAGCAGAGGCCTTCTCAAATTTCTGACCCATAAGAATAAATTTTGGTTACATTTTAAAATTTGATGGATTAAAGTAAGCAGAAAATAATCTCTTAGTATCTGTATTGTGAAAATAAAGGTATGAATATTTGTATTCCAGAGTCAAAGAGCAAAAGTGTAGTGACTACTAGGTGATCTTGATGTGAGCAAAAACTGGCCCTGAAATACAGCTGAAGTTTGAGCTGTATTTTTTGTTTACAACTACATACCTAAATAACAACTCAGTGAGGAGTTCATATACATATTTTTTATTTTTCTCCTTCTGTGGTAGTAAGTTACACTTATCAACTTGATTACTTATTCAAATGCATACTTCCCAATTTTGAAAAAAAAATTGAAATAGCCCCAAAATACTAGCTGTGGACAATGCAGAAGGAAGTTAAGTCTATCTTTGAAAGATCCTCTGCAGCGTCATTTCATGAACTAAGGTCCAGACAGAAATCAAAATATATAGAATCCAATGTACATTAAGTACAGCCATGTCCTTGTAGGTGGTAACCTGGAATGCCTTGAAGAAAGTCTAAATGAAGTTTTGCTTTCAAACAACTATTCACATATAAGCTACGTTTCAGGAAAATTAGGTCCAATAGTTTTTATTTTGGTGTGAACCAGAATTGGGCTATCTTTCAGTCTCCTGTGTGAAGATTTCTTTTGAAGAAGTTGAAAATGTTCTTTTTCATTGATTTTTATGGGTCCTTATTTTATGAATTGATTAATATATGAAATGAGGACTTTTCTTTTTTTTTAAAAAAGTGAGGACTTTTCATCTAACTTTGGGCAGTGAAGTTTGTGTAGCTCTGAGGGGTAGACATGGTTCTGGAATTCTAGTCCACTTATTCCTAAATATATATGACAGGACAGGAATTAATTTGCAAATTCATTCTTTGTGGACCTAACTGTAAGGTCCTAGGACACAGGAGAATTAACATGTACAAAGATTTCATCAGTTCAAAAGGACTAACAAAACTCCACAGAGTATATACATTTAATGTTGTTGAGTCACTAAATTGTGACCAACTCTTGTGACCCCATGGACTGTAGCCCACCAGGATCCTCTGTCCATGGGATTTCCCAGGCAAGAATACTGGAATGGGTTGCCATTTCCTTTTCCAGGGGATCTTCTGACCCAGAAATCAAATCCACATCTCCTGCCATGGCAGGCAGATTCTTTACCACTGAGCCACCAGGGAAGCCCATATAATATTTAATGCTTTCATTTAAAAGCAAAAGATGTAGCTTACCAAGAGAAAAGGTAGGGGGAGTCTGAGAATCATTCAGGTGCAAGTTCCACAGTGTCCTTATTCACATAGAGACTGCACTCTACCTCCAGATAGAACCACTAAGATCTATGTGAATCTTGGGAGAGCTCAAGGCAGAAGTTCCCCAAAAGGACTTTTATGCCCCTTTGTTCACTGGTCACATAGTCAAAGTGGGTCTCTAATCATTTATATGAGTAAACAAATTGACTCCGGGGGTCTTCAGGGAAAATTTCAACTTCAAACAGCATCTTATGTATCCCTCTGCCCTATGTCAATCAAACTCAATGCCAGACATTCAGGCGTCATGGAGATAATAGAGCTTTTCCAGTCCAGTTCAGTTCAATTCAGTCACTCAGTCGTGTCTGACTCTTTGTGACCCCATGGACTGCAGCACGCAAGGCTTCCCTGTCCATCACCAACTCCCGGAGCTTACTCAAATTCATGTCCATCGAGTCAGTGATGGCAATTATAAATCAAATTTCCAGTCCAACTATAAATCAAATCCATCCTACAAACATGGTTCCTACATCTCCTATGTATTGTCTGATAATCTGCGTAAACAAGCATGTTGCCTCACTTCTTAAGTCCCCAGTATCTGCATAGTGCATCTCAAACCTGAAACATTCTTGCCAGGTAGTGCTTGAATATCTCCACTTAATTTGTGGTCCAGCAATAGAATCAGACTTATCATCCCCTGCTTTATAAGTAATATGCAACAGTTAAAACACAGATATAAACACTGGTCTCTAATATTCATCTGGGATGTTGTACCATTTGAGATATTCATCAGTTTATAATCTGGGACTTTTCAAAATCATAGATGTGTGACAATATCAAGCACTGATGAGGGTGTGGAACAACTAGAACTCTGATACACTGCTAATGGGAATGCAAAGTAGTAAAACCACTCTGGAAAACAATTTGGTGGGTTCTTTAAAAAGTTAAACATGTACTTTCCATGTGACCCAGTGATCCCACTTATATTTAGCATAGAGAAATAAAACCACACGTTCACACAAAAGCCTATTCATGCATGTCTATAGTATTATTATTTATAATCACTAAAAACTGGAACAACCCAAATGTTCCTCGTGGATAAATGGACACACCATGGTATATCCACTCAATAAAATAACTATTCAACAACAACAAAAAAATGGACTGCTGACACATGCAACATTATGGATGAAACCGGCCTCAAAAAGTTACATACTGTATGATTCCATTTATACATTGTGGAAAATGTAAAAATATAAACATCCAGAATATATCAGTGGTTGCCACGGATTAGGGGTGTCTGAGTAGAAAGGGGATGCGTGAGGGAATTCCTTGAGGTGTTGTAATTGTTTTGCATACTGTTTGTGGCAATAAATATAAAAATACACATGTGAAAAATCAGAAGTGTGTACATATCAAAAATAGAGAATTGTAGTAGCAACATCTGTAAGATTGTGGAATAGCATTTGTCTCATGGAAATTTGAACAATTTGAACAACCATCCCCATGAAATTACAACACTTGGGTGGAGCACAGAAATGAAAGATAGATTGAAGAGGATAAGGACAATTTCACACTACCTGGGTTACTTATTCTTCAAGCCTGTGCAGTGAAGCATGAAGCAATGTACCCTCTGCATGGAGGGAAGGAAAGTGAAGTGAGAACCCATCCTTGTCACAGACCCCAGCACCAGCCTTCCCCAGTGAATCCCCAGGTAAACCAATATGATTCAGAATCCAGGCCTGCCGCTGTGAACCCAAATACCAGGCTCCAGGCTGCCCAACCCAGCACCATACTGGCCCTACAGACCCAGATACCAGTCTGGCACCCATGGACCTAAGCTCCAGGCCTGCCCCAATAAATAGATCTGTCAATGTTTATAAAACTCCCTAATGTATTAAAAAGTAGGCTAAATGTGGACTGATGAGAATATCATGAATCATGGATTATGATTAATCCAGTTTTGTCCAAAGAATTTTTAAAATGTAATTCCTAGAAGAATAGAAGTGACAGCTGTAGTTACAAAAGCAGATGACTATAGGACTCATTAGGAGAGATTTTAATTTTCACATTATTTTGGGTAATTAAAAAATAATTTTGTTTATTTTTGTCTATACTTGGCCTTTGTTTCTGTGTGGGCTTTTCCCTAGTTACAGTGAGCAGGGGCTACTCTCTAGGTTTGATGTGTAGGCTTCACATGGTGATGGCTTCTCTTGTTGCAGAGCACGGGCTCTAGGGAAAGTGGGCTTCAGCAGCTGTGCCTCCCGGGCTCTAGGGCACAGGCTCAATAGTTATGACACATGGGCTTAGTTGCTCCATGGCATGTGGGATCTTCCCAATCAGGGATCGAATCTGTGTCTCCTACATTGGCAGGCAGATTCTTAACCATGAGCCACCAGGGATGCCTTGAATACTTTTTAAAATATATTTGTTATTGGTTGCCCTGGGTTTTCATTGTTGCAAGTGGGCTTTCTCTAGTTGAAGTGAGTAGTGGCTTCTCTTGTTGTAGCAGGCTCTAGGCTTACAGGCTTCAGTAGTTTCAGCACATGGACTCAGTAGTTGCAGATCTCAGGCTCTAGAGCACAGGCTCAGTAATTGTGGCAGATGGGCTTTGTTGCTCTGCAGCATGTGGGGTCTTCCCAGATTAGGAATCAAACCCATGTGTCCTGCATTGGCAGGCAGATTCTTTACCACTGAGCCACCAGGGAAGCCCTATTTTGGGTAATTTTTGAATTTTATAGTATTGCTTTTATTTCCTAATATTTTCAACTATAAAATTAATATATCAAAACATATACACACTCATGATTGGGAATTTACCAATAGAAATATGACCATGTAAGAATGTTTATTACACCATCATTTCTGGTGAAAAAGTAGAAACAATTAAATGTCTACAGTAGGAGATGGTTCAAAATACTGGCCTACATCCCATACTAGAAATATTCTGAAACTTTAAAAGAATGAGTCAGATCTGTATGTATTGACCTGGGAAAATGTACACAATTATTTAAATGAAAAAAGCAAATGTCATGCTATATGTCACTATAGAGGGTAAAAACTTTCACACACATGGCAAAACATACATGCAATGTGCAGATATGTTTGATCATGAAGAAAGAAGCAACACATACATACAGGTTTTTTCAGGGATTTGTAGGAGAGGAAGAAATTGTTTTCATTTTATTTCCTTCCCACTTCACTGGTTTCAGTGAAAACACAGTTTTATAAAATTTACTTCCAATACTGATAATTACAATAACTCATAATCATCATTGAAACCAGAGCGTTGTTTTTTTCCTTTTAATAACTTCATTTTCCCACTTAAAAAAAAAGAGTAGAAAGATTATTAAACTAAATCAATACTAATGAAACCCAGTATTTTACCAACATTTTCTTTGAAGAAAAAAAGGAAATGTATGTTTCCAAAAAGAATTTTCTGATGCTAGATTAGGATGTGGGGAGAAGAAAACGTACTGGTGTCTCAACAGTATGAAGTGTCTGACGTAGGTTAAATTGTAAGCCACGATTAATGGCCTTCCTACATTCATATGATTTCTTCCCAGAATGAATTCTTTGATGGTGTGAGAAGCTTGAATGATAGCTAAAGGCCTTTCCACATTCCTTACATTCAAAGGGCTTCTCACCAGTATGAATTCTCTGATGTTGAATAAGGTGTGAATGAAGTCTAAAGGCTTTACCACATATCACACATTCATGAGGTTTCTCACCAGTGTGAATTCTCTGATGTCTTCTGAGGTGTGAGCACTGTCTAAAAGTCTTGCCACATTCCTTACACTCATAGGGTTTCTCACCAGTATGAATCCTCTGATGTAGAGTAAGTTGTAAGCTGTCACAAAAGGCCTTCCCACATTCACTACATTCATAAGGTTTTTTGCCAGAATGAATTTTCTGATGGTGAGAGAAGCTTGAATGATAGCTAAAGGCCTTTCCACATTCTTTACATTCATAGGGTTTCTCACCGGTATGAATTCTCTGATGTATTGTAAGGTGTGATCGATGCCTGAAAGTCTTCCCACATTCTTTACATTCATAGGGTTTTTCACCAGTATGCAGTCTCAGATGTTCAGTAAGTTGAAAGCCACGAATAAAAGCCTTCCCACATTGCTTACATTCATAGGGTTTTTCACCAGTGTGAAGTCTTTGATGTTGAGTAAGCTGTGATCGTTGCCTAAATGCCTTCCCACATTCCTTACATTCATAGGGTTTCTCACCAGTGTGAATTCTCTGGTGTAGAATAAGTTCTGAACCATAATTAAAGGCCTTCCCACATTCTTTACACTCATAAGGTTTCTTGTGAGTATGAAGTCTCTGATGTATGGTAATGGGTGATCGATGCCTGAAAGTCTTTTCACACTCTTTACATTCAAAGAGTTTCTTACCAGTACAGAGTGGCAGATGTTCAGTAAGTTGAAAGCCACAGATAAAAGCCTTGCCACATTGTTTACATTCATAGGGTTTCTCACCAGTGTGAAGTCCCTGATGTTGAATAAGTTGTGACAGCTGCATAAAGGACTTCCCACATTCCTTACGTCCATCGGGTTTCTCACCAGTGTGAATTCTCTGATGTAGAATAAGTTCTGAGCCATAATTAAAGGCCTTGCCACATTCTTTACATTTTTCACCATTATGAATTCTCAAATGTTGTTTAAGTTGTGAATAACGAATAAGGGCCTTCCAACATTCCTTACATTCATTGCACTTGTTACTATTTTGAATTCTCTGTTTAGTAAGGTATGATGTATCAACAGTTTCTGCACATTCCTTATAGTCAGAAAGTTTTTCTTTAGAATGAGCTTTGTGATGACTAAAGAATAAATGGTAACTGAAGTTTTTCCTGCATTCTTTACATTCAAAGATTTTCTGTCTATTATAAAATTCCTGAGTGAACAAAATATGTTGGCTAAAAACGGGCATGTGTTCATGGTTGATAACAAATTGCCTGAAATAGCCCTCCTGTTTTCCCTGTTGTCTCTCAAACTGATTTTTGCATGCCTGAATGTCTCTGAAAATGGATTTCTTAGGACTATGGTTTTTAAATGGGTCTGTGATAACCCACTGGGATGATTCTGTCTCATAAATGTTTCTTTTTGGAGATAACTTCTTGGGCTCACATTTGGACACCAAATCTGAAAGATAAAGAAGCACATTTTAATTGCTAGTTTTGTGTTAGAAGAGAAATGAAATATCTCTGATAGAAAAGAGTGAAAGTGAAAGTTGCTCAGTCATGTCCAACTCTTTGCAACCCCAAGGACTATACAGTCCATGGAATTCTCCAGGCCTGAATACTGGAGTGGGTAGCCTTTCCTTCCCAACCCAGGAATCAAACCAGGGTCTCCTGCATTGCAGGCAGATTCTTTACCAACTGAGCTATCAGGGAAGCCAGAAAAGAGAGATAATTGGAAATAATTCACATAAGAAATGAAAGGTTTAAGGGGCTCTTAAATACCATAATGTAACAATGAAAAAGGGTAAGGTGAATGGAAAGAAATGAAAGCTCATGAGAGAAACGTGAGATAGTTCTCTAACAGGTCAGTGGTTCTCATATTTTGATCCACTTGAGAATCACCATGGGATTTTGTTGCAATTATGGAGGTTTACAAAACACTCTAGATCACCTGAATCAGAATCTCTAAGAATCTGTATGTTTTAACACTCAAGAATCTGTATGTTTTAACACTCTCCATCAGGCCAAAGGATTATGTGATATCTGCTAGTTATTCTCAAATATCTATTATTTCCCTTTTGTACACTGATTGAACCCATGGGTTTTAGTTGAGAACAGGCTGCCCAATATAAGTATTGCCTGTCCCAGCACTCTGCAGCAGAATATGCCGTACAACTGGATTCTGCCTAAAGAAATGCAGTATCATACAGTACTTTCTGAGAACTTTCTTAAGAGTTGGCTGGCCCACCCCCTATATCTGTTATTTTCCTGCTTCCTCAGCGAAGCCAGCTGCAATGTGCATTTGATGTCATGTCTGTCACATGATGGTTCTGCAGAGCGGAGTTGGCACTCTACCCTGGGCTTTAATCCAAGAGAAAACTAGTCCTCTATACAGTTTAAGCTACATTTATTTTGGGGTCTCTGTCACATACAGCCAGACCTTTATTCAAACTAATAGAGCCTCTCATTAAAGTGAAATTTTAAAACTCCAACTCTTTATCATGAGTCTTACATAAGGCCTCTGATTAGCTTTAAAATCACATTTTGAGTCTATTTCTGTTTTATTCATTGTGTCATAACACCATTAGTCTCTTGTAACAACTAGGATATTACAAATTCTTTATCTTAGAGCTTTTCAGAGGTTGTTTCAGAAAAGAAAGTTTGAGGCCAACAGATACATAAAGCATTCAATTCTAACAATTTAGTTTTCCATTTTCCTAATGACGATCATTTGCATTGTTTCCAGTTTCTGGCTATTATGATATATGAACATTCATGCACATTTCTTTTGGTGGAAATAGGACTCCTTTCTGTTAGGTGTGAAATTACTGCATCAGAGGATATGCACTTGCTCAGGTCCATCTGACATTATGAAACAGTTTTCTAATTTATAATTTATAATTCCATCAACTCTGAAAGAGTTCCTGTTCCTCATATCCTCACCAACACTTGTTATTGCCAATCGTCTTATATCTAAGCATCCTGGCAGATGTGTTGTGATACTGCACTGTGATTTGATTTTTAATTTCCCTTATGACAAATAAGATCGAACACTTTGCCATATATTTATTGGACAATTGGATATCTTCTTTAATAAATTGCCTATCCAAGTATTTCATTTTTATTAACTTAGGAGTGATAAAGTACAAATAAAATCCATCATTTTAACCACTTTGAAGTGTATAACTCAGTAACTTGTAGTACACTCCCAATGTTCTGCAACCGTCAGATCTCTAATTCCAGATTATTTTCATTACGCCAAAAAGAAACCTCATATCCACGGTCATGTTCTGTTCTCCTCTTCACCCCCATGCCCTGGAAACCACCCATCTGCTTTATGTCTCTATGAATTTGTCAAGAAATTTCATAAACATGTGCTTATACAATATGTGACCTTTTGTGTCTGTTCTCACTCACTATGTTCTTAGGGTTCGATGATGTTGTACCATATATCAGTAGTTCATTTATTTTTGAGTGAGTTATATTTCACTGTACAGAAAAACTATATTTTGTTTATCCATTCTTCAGTCAAGGGACATTTGGGTATTTCTAGGTTTTAGTTGTCTTTTTGACTTGGAGGGAATCCTTAATATAATCAACTACCTAATGCAAGTATCTTGTCCCATTCTGAGGCTGGCCCCATTGCTCTCTTAATACAATGTTTTGATAAACAGAAATTGTTAATTCTAAAACAGTCTGATTGCGAGGTCATAAAATATACTCATATCATCTTCTAGAAGTTTTTTCGTATTTAGATCTATAATCCACCTAGTGTGAGGCAGAAATCAAGATTCCTATTTTTCAATAGATATCAGCCCCCTTCATTGAAAAGACCGTCCTTTCCCTGATTCTGTCTTAGATCAAGTGACGTTGTATGTTAGTCATTTTCTCTGTAATCCATTCCAACAGATATTTCAACTCCCATAACTCTGTTGAAACATTCCTAACTAAAGTCACTAACAAAATTACCAAAATCAGTGCTCAAATGCCAGTCATCACTCTATTTGACTCATTACTAGCATTTGACACAACTGATCAGTTGCTCCCTTTATACCATATTCTCCTGGTTATCCTCCTACATCTCTACTTATATTCAGTTCACCTTAATGCATTCTTTTCCACTTTCTGACCTCTAAATGTTGGAATATCCCAGAAATCAGGCTCTGCTCAGCCTTCAATCTACACACTTTCCCTTAATAACAGTCTGGCTTAAATACCAATCATACACTGCTAAGTCTTAAATTTTACCTCTATCTCTAAAAATATTTTTTAAATTGTGATAAAATACACACAACATAAAATTTACCATCTTACTACTTTTAAGTGTATAGTGTAGTAGTGTTAAGTGTGCACACTGTTGTACAACCATCCCCAGAACTTTTTCACCTTGCAGAACTGAAACTCTGTACCCATTAATAACTCCCCATTCTTCCCTCTTCCAGTTTCTGGCAAGCACCAGTCTACTTTCTGTTTCTATGGATTTGACTATATACCTTATATCACTAGAGTCCTACAGTATTTGCTGTTTTTTTTTTTCTATATGTGACTGGCTTATTTAACTTAGCATAATATCCTCAAGGTTCATTCATGTTGATCCACAGATCCACACAGGAAGCATTGCAGATCAGTGAGAAAAGAATTACTTACTGAATCATATTAGAAAAGATAGCTATAGCTAGAAAAAAAAATTAACTTGGATCCCTACCATGCACTATAAATATATAAACTCTAACTGGATTAAGGTAAAGGAAAAACTGTAAGGCTTGTGGTGAAAAACAATATATATGTATACATAAAAAGGGCTTCCCCGGTGGCTCAATGGTAAGCAATCTGCTTGCAATGTAGGAGACGCAGGTTCAATCCCTGAGTTGAGAAGATGCCCTAGAAAAGGAAATGGCAACCCACTCCAGTATTGTTGCTTGGGAAATCCCATGGACAGAGGAGCCATGGGGTCACAAAAGAGTTGGACACAATTTAATGACTAAACAACAACAAACAACAACATAAATTTCTTAAACAAGACACAAAAGATACAAGTCTAACTAGAAAAAAGATAACCTGTGAGAAAAATGGGCAAAAGGTCTGTATAGGCACTTCATAGAAGAAAAACTAGTGTTAAATACTCATATGCAAGAATGCTCAAGCTCATTAGGAATCAAGGAAACTCAAATTAAGATATGAGATACCATTTATACTCATCAGACTAAAATTTTAAATGTCTAAGAATTTGAATTTTTTTTTTTTTTAAGAATTTGAATTTTTGTTAAGATGTTGAAGACCCAAAATTATTACACACTGCCAGGGGTAATGTAAATTAGTACCAACATGTAGGAAAACAATTTGTTATAATACAGAGTTGAAGATGTATGTATTTTATGACCTGGCAATTCCAGTTCTAGTAAATAATGTACTATGTGCTTCAGGAGATGTGTAAGAATATTAATAGTACCACTGTATATACTAGCAAAAAATTATGAACAATCTAATTAACAACCAGAAAAATGTGGAATGGAATATTATATAGCTGTGAAAATGAAATCAGGTATAAAGTAATTTGGGAAAATTTGTAAAACCATGTGGTACAAAATAACTAAATCACAGAAGACACATACTCATTATCATTTTTATAAAAGAAACAATCAAAACACAATATAGTGTATAAGGGTATACACAAATGTAGTAAACTAGTTTTTAAATAGAATAACCATAACAGAATTCAAAATAATGATTACCTCTGGGGATGTAGCAGGGGAGAGAAACCAGGGAGAAACACACAGAATTGATGGTTCTGTAGCATTAGTTCTTAACTAATTCAGACAGACAAGACCCTCAGATTAAACAAAATATTCCATTCTCTCTAGAAAACATTGACAGGACCCAGAAAACTCAGTGGTACTAGCTACTGGAGTATATACATTCTCCACTAATCTCAACAGCCAAGTTAGATGCTACCAGAAATCAGTCGTATTTGTTCCCCTCCTCGTTTTTACCAGTAGATGAAACGAGTGTGAAAACCAGGTGGAAAGATCAGGTAATGGCAATTACTTAAGAAAAAACATAAATGAAAACTGCAACAAGAAAAAGTCTGGTGGTAGGGGAAACATGAAAACGAAGTACTCTGCACTCACACTGTCTTTATGATCTTCCTCTTCTCTAAAGAAATCAAGGCAAATGTCACAAAAATGGGAATTCTAAGGTTCATTTTAAAAAGATAATCTAAAATCTCAATCACATACACACCTATCGTCAATTAATCTATGACAAGGGAGGGAAGGATATACAATGGAGAAAAGACTGTATCTTCAATAAGTGGTACTCAGAAAACTGGACAGCAACACATAAAACAATGGAATTAGAATATTTCATCATACCATGTACAAAAGTAAACTCAAAATGGACTAAAGACCTAAATGTAAGACCTGAATCCATAAAACTCCTAGAAGAAAACAGGCAGAACACTCT